CTCACATCGAACCCATTTGAAGGACCCGGGAAGGATTTGGGACATTCCAGGTTGGGACATACCCTGGAATGTCAAATTGCCGAAACCACATGAGCTCAAGATGTCAGGATCACCATCTGTTGTATTCACAACGGACAAACCAGAGAACAGCCCCCCATCGCTGCTGGCCCAATCACTTCTGCTTCTACCATTTCATCTAAAAGATTGAGGGTTTGATTGTTGGCAGAAACGGCCTTAGTTGGCGGGTCACTACGAGGACCACCCGTCGTTGTCAAGTCAAGTAAATCACCCAAAAGGCTGTCTTTCTCTTCATGGACTTCATGAACAAAGTCAGGTGCTGATGTGGAAGAACCATCTTCACTGTCGACCAAATAATCCGCTGAGCTGCTAAGATCCTTGTGTTGTCCCGACGCTCGAATGTTTTCTATCAACTCATCGATGATCTGACGGCATTTGGGTGTCGACGACCGAATCTGCATCAGAGTCGAATCGATGCCTGACTCAATGGTCTTCGCAAAACACTCCCTTTTAGATGCGTTTGAATTGAGTGTAGGGTCAATAAGTGCTGCTAAACAAGCGATCGCCCGATACTTTGACTGCCACGTTGTTGCTGCACGCACACCCGCAGATCCAGAGGAAGAAAGTTTGTCTAGAAGAATGGCAGCTACTCTGTCACCACTCCGGTCCGAGTTCACTTTTCGTATAAACTCAGCCAAAGAAGAACGAGTTGGGCCAGGCTTAGAAGAAATAGTAGACGAACACATCGAATCAACTAGCGAAATAAGAGGATAGAGTTCCACATCTGCATAAGCTGCACTTGTCGTTGGCTGATCTTTTGAGGGGGTGACGGGAAGTGGTGTTCTCATGACTGTGGTTGATAACGCAGATGGCTGATGAAATGGGGGAAGGGTGTATTCCCGATCAACAAAAGATGGGGTTGAGGAGGCGCATGGATAACTTGGAACAGGTGTATCGTTTCCCGGAAACTGTAGCCAGAAAAGCTATACGAATGGGTTGCTTCAGGTTTCTTCCAACTACCAGACCAAGAAGACGAAGAATGTCGAGGAAATGAAACCTTTTCTCCGATTGCGCCGATTTGGGTTTTGATTGACTCAGGAAGAAACTTGCTGACGCTAAAAGCAGCTTGAGATAATCCATTGACAAAATTCTCTGCTTGGACTGAAACAACTTCCGTTACTGAATCGACCACGTTTGAACGGCTTGCCGGTATTTCCCCATCATTTTGATAAGCGAAGTGAGGATTTCCAAAACCTTCCATCTTCCCCAACCGACGCGTTGATGGAAACGCGGGGTGAGAACTCGACCCAGATCCAAACCCCTTCAATGCGACTTGGGGGAGCATCGATGGGTCCCCCTTCTGGAGGCTCTTGATAGCGATAGAATTGGGATTGGACGTCATTCCCCCAGTTTCTTCACTTCCGAAGAGAGCTTTGATACAACGATCCGCTTCTTCTCTGACCTCGCGGTTCAGGGAATCACCTCGCAGAGGGTCCAACGGAGCTCGATAAGACAGAAACGATTTCAACACATTGGATTTCCGTTGCATGGAAACCCGAAATGCTCGGTTGTCGGATTCGCAAATAAACCGTATAATTTTGAGAATCTTACACTTGACGTATGGATCATGATGCTTGTGGTGCTGTCCCAAGGCTTTAAGAAGAAATTCTTCGACTTCATAGCATGCCTCAGTATTAGACAGTTCCACAATGCTGTTGAGAAGATACCCAGGTGTTGGCTCTTCATCGGCGCGAGTTGCTTTCAACAAGATGGACTTATCCATCGCTCACCACATCTGATCTGTCTGACCAGTCGAGCACCTGGACATCGTTTTTGAGCACGTCTTTCTTGCGTTTTTTATTGTGTCTCTCTCTCCCTGTTGTTGTTTATTTATTCTGTGTAATTTGTTCGTGATGCTTTTTTTTGATTCCTTCAAATATGGAGAAAACGTTTTTGATACAAATTACACCTAATTTAGAAAACTGATCCTGTTCCACGTTCTGGTGAATCACTTTTCGAAAATGCGGGTTTTTGAGCTCTGGTTTCCCTGCATGTTGACCTGGCTGTTGTCTGACAGAGCAGGACTGGCGATCTGCAAGATGGCGATGCGCAGGCCCAAAGCAATTGGCACAAGTGCCAACAGAGTCCAACCCTACGGCTCCAAGCCAGGCGGGGCTGGCTTGTCATTGAAGCTCGATAAAAATCTGGGACAACATCTTTTGAGGAATCCAGGCATCTTGGACAAAATTGTAACTGCAGCTGAGATCAAATCGACTGACACGGTGCTGGAAATTGGGCCAGGTGTGTTGTTTTGTCGCTCTCGGATTCCTTATTTCATCATTTCAGGCACGGGCAATCTAACGATGCGTCTGCTCCCAATTGCAAGAAAAGTTGTCGCCCTTGATGTTGATGAAAGAATGGTTGGTGAAGTGAAAAAACGCGCTATGAGCTTGGGTTATACAAATTTGAATGCTTGCTATGGAGATGCTTTACGGACTGATTTCGGAACATTTGATGTCTGTACCGCCAACATGCCCTACCAAATTTCGTCCCCATTTATCTTCAAGCTCCTTGCTCACCGCCCTCTGTTCCGTTCGGCTGTTTTAATGTTTCAGAAAGAATTTGCAGAAAGGTGTGTCCCCGCTATGATCATAATAATAGGCATATGGGTCACGAATTGGTGGCATATGGGTCACGAATTGGTGGCATATGGGTCACGAATTGGTGGCATATGGGTCACGAATTGGTGGCATATGGGTCACGAATTGGTGGCATATGGGTCACGAATTGGTGGCATATGGGTCACGAATTGGTGGCATATGGGTCACGAATTGGTGGCATATGGGTCACGAATTGGTGGCATATGGGTCACGAATTGGTGGCATATGGGTCACGAATTGGTGGCATATGGGTCACGAATTGGTGGCATATGGGTCACGAATTGGTGGCATATGGGTCACGAATTGGTGGCATATGGGTCACGAATTGGTGGCATATGGGTCCAGAATTGGTGGCATATGGGTCACGAATTGGTGGCATATGGGTCACGAATTGGTGGCATATGGGTCACGAATTGGTAGCATTGCAACATGCAGCGCTACAGCATGATCGAAGTCGATGATTGACTGTCCCTCATATTTTATTGTCTGTGTTTTCCAGGCTGTGCGCTCAGCCGAATGATAAGTTTTATTGCCGCTTGGCAATCAATACACAGATTTTTTGTCGAGTCGAGCGTATTTGCCTTGTGAAAGCAGCTAACTTCTCGCCCCCCCCCAAAGTTGATTCTATGGTCGTTAGATTGACCCCTAGAAAGCCTCAATTGAAGGTGAGACCTCGCATCAGCATATCACTCTTCGGTGACGCGATGCCTGTTTCACGCTAATAAATCGAAGCGGAGATTGAAACTTCTTTCTAGATTGATTTTCTATTTTTTAGATTGATTTTCGTGAGTGGGATGGAATGATACGCGTTTGCTTCGGACGCAAGAGAAGAACGCTGAACAGCAACTTTACGATAAAACCTGTTTTGCATATGCTGGAATACAATTACAAGGCTTGGTGTTCGGTCACAGGCTCCATTCCAGAAATTGTCGAGATGAAGGTAAGAAATAGACGCTTCGTCACGAGGGCCACTCGCTTCCCAAGCATAGACATTCATTTCTGGTCGTGTGTCGCTGTTCAGGATTTAATCAAATCCGTTCTTGAAGAGGCGCAGTTAAGCGAGCGTCGGGCTGTTACAATTAGCATTGAAGAGTACTTCCAGCTCTTGCTCGCATTCAACAAGAAAGGCATTCATTTCTGTAACATTACGGGCGCCAACAGTGACGCCAAGAAGGACGATCCTTTCGGAGGTAAAATTTCATACAGCGATTGTCTTACTTTCTGCTAAATGGTGTAACCAACGCATTTTGTTTGTTCTGCAGGACTTCAAAAAGATTGGTTTATGAATATTGGAGAAGATATTGAAAAAGATGAGGAAATGGCTGAAACTTGTTGATCGCTCTCTCTCTCCTGATGACCACTGGATGCAATTTAAACTCCTCCATTAGTTCCGTCGCTTCCTCTTTCGCTGACAAACTGTCACTGACAGGAAAGGGAGCGCTCGTTCAATCTCAGCAAATCTTTTCCGGTCCGTTTCTGAAAGTCCTGGGCTCGAAATGTGTAATTGCACTCCAGCAAATCTTTTCCGAGACGTTTTCCTGGCGGAGTTTTTTCCATGGGAGATTCTCTCGCTTAGGAATCTCCTAGGGATTTGTCCCTCATGACTGGGAGATCTCGCTCTCGTAGATTGTAGGACGAAGTGTTTTATCCGAATTGTTTTAAGGAGCTTCCATTCTTTGACGCAAGAAACAACATTTCAGCTTCCACACCCAATTAAGCATCACATCGAGTCTTTTGGTACAGATGAGATTGTAAGTCAAATGCATCCAACTATGTTGCGTTGCTCCAACGACAAATTCTGTTCACAAGTTTACCTTGCTGGACACGTCACCATGAAAACGCATTTGATGTGGGAAAGATCGAAAGGAGAACACCGCGAAAAAAAGAAACAGAAATAAAAACAATCATTGCCGCAGACACATAGAGATCTAGGAATTTATGATCGGGGGGTTAGTCTAGAAATTTATGATCATCTTCCTTCCAATTTTCATCGACTTGAGGTAATAGTAGAAAAAATCAGCAAACAGAAGCGTTTGTGCGCTGTACGAAAAAATGACCGCCCAACCTGAAGAAACAGCGAGGGATAAGAATTCATCAATCATACGAATTGTCGTGCAAGAATTGACAAAAACGCGACCCCGGAATCAAACCACTCCAAATCGTGAAGGAGAGTTTCAAATAGCACAACGACCTACCAGCCCAGTTATATGCACCATTCCTTGGTGTTAATTCATTATAGGAAAAATACCAGAAGAGGAAAGCGAAGACCTTCGAGGCGGCCATTGAAGCAACGTAATGGCTGGTCAACGCTTCGACCTCTCCACCGAGCTTTCCCTGCAGAAAACAAATAAGAAACGGATGAAGAAGATTGCAATTCATATAATCCGTAGGGCCCATATGGTCTCCACACGCAACGCGTGGTAGTGCTGATTGCAACTCAGAACTATAAGGACCATTAAATCTGAAGCTGCGTGAACCCACCATCATGAAGAGCTGGGGCACCATAGCGAACGTTTCAACATAAAGCGCAAACGTCCATGCGACATCAGCCATAAGATTTTGGTTTAACGTTGGATGTACGATGAGAGATAGGATGAAGGCGACGATCACTGGAGCAACAACGACGCATGTGTCCTTATCCTGCTGTTGTTGTACCGAATTATGGCAATTCCGTCTCGCATAAATAATTAGGATGAAAATTAAGATCACAGTAATGATATCTGCTGCTTGGTAGACCCAATCACCAGATCTGAAAAAAACACATCATGACGGAGAGAAGACTGGAGCTGATCATCTTGCCTGTCAACTGGAAGGTATCCATTATAGAATAATGTAGAGAAAAGTCGGGTGATAAGACACACAAGGATTAGGAACAACGATCGTTGTGAGACTCCAGCAACAGATTGTTGGCTATAAACTTTCATGTTGAGTACGGCTGCTGCAAAACACTGGAACGCCGATGCTAGAGTGAGGATCGCCGAAAAACTTCCGTCTGAGAAGAACTTGTAACCAACAACAATAAGGCATGCGAGCGTAAACCACGATACTACAAGCACACAAAGTGAGAGCATGAGCAATATACATCTAAACGTTTCTGATGAAGCAGGGGCGAATTAAAGACGCGACGATATCTCTCCACTTTCTAGCTAGCCGTCGCTCCTCTACTTACGAAATTCCTTTTTATTGTTTTTCAGCATACGAGGACCGAAATACTTCGATGCCCCAATTCGAGTGAGAAACCTCCAGAAAATTCCCTTTTTTCCCTCCCCCGTTAATTTCGAGTATGACTTCATCTTTTTAGGGCTGTCTGGCGCCCACGACGAAGAACGCATCGTACGACCCTCAGATCCGGGTGCGGTCTGTGGAAATGCGCTTCCACGGATCGGTGCAGCGGTCATTGATGCTGCGTGACGACGATATTGGCCGAGCATCATCGACGGATTGGAGGAAACATGAGGTTGTGCAGGATCTTGCCGATTTAGGGGATCGAACACCATGCCTGAGGCCTCTCGAGCGACAGGAACACCCCGGGTATAAGAAGCTGAACGGACCGCTGCCATGATCGACTCAGGGAAGGTTTTGCGGATTGAAGAAGTTGAATGGGTGTTATTGTCCTTCGACACAGAGAGTTCTAAATGGAGACTCTAAATTTATGACACAAACACTCGCAGCGGTTGAACAAATAAAACAAAATGAATCAGGAGTATCACTTATCTACTGGATACGAATTTAGAGGTGCAGTTTATATAAAGGATTGAAGGAACGTCTCAGCATGCAGTAGACATGCCTCGATGTCCCAATGACTACGGCTGAAGCGCTGTGGTACTCTGATTGCAAACGCATCCATGTTCTTTGAGTTTGGGTAGCAGTTATAACCAAAGGTATCAGAGGAGACGTGCGCTTAACGTCCCAGTGGAAGACGAGCGCTCAAAGTCCCAGTGAGAGACTCAAAAGAGCCATTCTAACATACATCCCATCCGCTGCTTGACGAAAGTACCTCTGCCTTTTGTTTGAATCGACAGAAACGTGGATTTCATCAACTCGAGGCAAAGGGTGCAAAACCTGTGAGGAGACAATCGTTCATCAATCATTCTGTAAGGGACTCACAATTTGATGTGGAGGCGAGTGAGTCTCGAGAAGTTCATCTGTCAAAACAATGCTCTTCTCAAGATTGGCGAGTACACGATTTTCATCAATCCTTTCTTTTTGAAGCCGCGTTGAGTAAATAACATCGCTATTATTTAAAGCTTCAACTAATGAAGAGACAACAGAGTAACGTTCAGTTGGTCTGATCGTATTTGCCTGCACAAGAGCAAGAGGGTGGATGACTTCCAGCAGTTTGGTTTCTTGCATTTCGTGTTTCAAATGCAATACTATGAATTACCGCAATAACGGTCAAGTTCGCCAATAACTTCTACTGGCATTCCAAGCCCCCCTGAGAAACAAATGCACCATCAGGGCCGAACGTTCCATCAGAAGCTCTATCGCGACTCACATGTTGGAACGAACTGCAGATTCGCGTTGAGTCGCATCAGGAGTTTAGAAAGGCTGTGGGTTGTACGGCCGTACGCCAAATCGCCAACTAGGGTGATGATCAGTGGCTGAAAGAACCCAGGAGTGCTTGAATCGCATGCACAAGCATCTTACCTTTCCATTCCAGTTCAGCAGTCTATTTGGAAAATCTTGATGAATTGCAAATAGATCCAAGAGTGCCTGCGTTGGATGCTCGCCTTGTCCGTCGCCAGCGTTAAAGATGGGAAAATCCGATGGAAGGACGCCCCGGAGATCAGAGAGGACGCCCTGGGGACAACAGAACCGTAGAGGCAGTTTCCTCGGACGAAAACGGAAGGCGACGCGGAGTGGAGATATTCTTACTTTGCGAGGATGTCTGACGACCAAGGCGTCGCAGTATCCCTGAAGCATGCGTGCAGTGTCCTCAATGCTTTCCCCTTTGGAAAGTGATGCTGTTGAAGGCTGAAACACGCAAGAGGTTCAACAAAGGAGCGGCATTATTGTAACGTACATCACAAACAGCGACGGTTTGGCACCCGAGACGCTTAGACGCCGCTTCAAATGAACATCTTGTGCGTGTTGAAGGCTCCATAAAAAGCAACCCAATGACTAACGGATGTCGACGTGTGACACCAAACAGACAATCGACCCATCTCTGGAGCAAACCCTTGCATTGAGTGTTTCCAGCAGCATCCTTCTTACACTCCTTTGCTAAGTCCATAATTTCGAAAATTTCATCGTTCGACAAGTCGTCGATTGAAATTAAGCTTCTCGCAAATAGTGATCTTTTTCGACGGCGCAAATAACGATACGCCAGAACTGCGGCGACAGTTCCGATCACCACGGTCGTCAGCTGCTTCATCTCCAAGTGTCTTGACTAGGTATCGAGACCTGCATGCGTTAGACAACAGTGGCTGACCTGAGACGTTTTGGATGGGGCCGGTCGCTTTGTTCTTTGTCATCTTGACCACAGGATGTTTTTCAAGGATTTATGCAATGGACTTTCTAGAGTCTGGAGCATCTGGAGTCATTTTTCTGAGACGGGGTGCTGAATCGAAACTCCAGTATTGGGATCCTAACATCCAAACTCTTCATCATGAGGTTGTTTTCAATCGCTCCTTCTCCTCGTTCGCTCTTGGAAAAGGCGACGACGATTTGGTGATCGCAGACTTTCAAGAGAATTCTTTAAACATTTCAATCAGCGGAGATGTGCCTCGCATGCTCCTCAAGGATCGCAACAGACCGAGAGGGTTGCAATCTGACAGAACATTCGTTGCCTGGATCGAAGGGACAGAAACCACCAGTTTGATTTATGGATTTCTTTCTTCGGACTCTCAAAAAATTGAAATTCCTGGGAAACCAATCGAGATTCCTTCATGCGCAAACGCTAAGACAACGTTTTATGCAAAAACTGCCAAAGACAAGCATCATCGTAAGCCACTCCCATTTGTTCTTAAGTGTGGCGGGATTGAATCTCTCAACTTCAGCTCCTTTCTGTAGTGTATTTTATTCAGTGCCCCAACTCGATCTCCCTGGTGAAATTGATACCTGGCGCGAGTAGCAAAGAGGATAACAAGGAGGATAACAAGGAGGATAACAAGGAGGATAACAAGGAGGATAACAAGGAGGATAACAAGGAGGATAACAAGGAGGATAACAAGGAGGATAACAAGGAGGATAACAAGGAGGATAACAAGGAGGATAACAAGGAGGATAACAAGGAGGATAACAAGGAGGATAACAAGGAGGATAACAAGGAGGATAACAAGGAGGATAACAAGGAGGATAACAAGGAGGATAACAAGGAGGATAACAAGGAGGATA